TTGAGGTGCTATAAGCGCTTATTTGAAATGCTTATTTATTCTTTGGTTTTTTAGAGAAAAAGTTACAGTACAATCCCCTTTCTCTAATATTATTTTCTATAAGGCTCTTTATAAGTGAGTAGTTAGCATTGGTTTAAATAAATAATATACAGATGTTGCAAAAAAAATCTCAGTAGTGCTACTCTAATGATTAAAGTCAGGGAAAACTATCACCCTCTCAAGGGTAAGCAAAGGAATTCGTGTGTATGATGGAAAATATTATTTGTCAACTTGAGGGTGTTTGGGGATGAGATTAATATTTAAATCAGTGATCTTTCCCTCCATAATGTGAGTAGGTCTCATCCAATCTGCTGAAGGTCTGAATAGAGCAAAAAGACCCACGACCCTGAGCAAGAGAGATTTCCCCAGTGAAATGCCTTCAGGCTTTGTCTGTACCATGGGATCTCCTGGGTCTCCAAGTGCAGACTTTGCACTTGCTGGCCTCCATAATCACTGTGGTGTTCCTTATAATTAATGGATTAATTAACTTGCTATTGGTTCTGTTTCTCTGAAAAACCCTGACTACTAGAGTGGGTCATCTCAAATGGTCCTCCCAGCTTCCACTCTGGCTAAGGATGTGAGAGGACAGCAGGGGAGAAAAAGCTTGACTCTTAATACCTGATGCTCCAAGATTCTAAGGGGTGGGGGGGGTCACTCCGTGCCCTATTCACTAGCACATTCACCCCAGCTTCACTGCTTCTGTCCTTCCTCCTGTGCCTCACACCAGGGCCCTGGTGGACCAGGTCTTGGAGCACTCCCACTGCTCACTCTTCCTGGAGGAGAACTCTGTAGTGCAGTGTAGATGGAGTCTGCACCCAGGTCAGGATATCTAGTGTCCTGGAACCTTTCCCTCATGACTTTGCAACTTGCTTATCAGAGTCCTTCCCCCTTCCTGGAATTCTATGGTATCTATAGGATAAGAGGGCCTGACTTGGATGGAGTCTAAGGCCTCTGCAGAATGTGAGTGGCTTCCCCTATCCCCCTGTGCCTCTTTCCACCCCTCTCCTGTATTTGTCCCTGAAATGGTTGGTACATATCATAAGAATTGGCTCAGGTCTGCCCAGCTTCTACTGGGAACTGCTGAGGTCCTCCACGCCATGGCAGGGACCTACATCTGGGCAGGAAGGCCTGCTCCAGCCCAGAGCTGCCATTGGGTGGGTAGAGCATTTTACCTCTAGAATTTTATTTACCATAGAATACAATGTATGGGACCAAAAAAGGAAACTGATTGTAGAAATGTGAGAATAGGAAAATTAGACCAAATGTGAATATTTGGCCCACGGACAAGGATAAATTTCTAGACAAACCTGACTTTGAAAGTAGGACTGTTTCCCAGGATGAACCCCTCAGACTGATACCAGATTGACTAACTTTGCTTCCAAACCTAGGCAGTGCTTTTACACACATGAGACACATGTGAGCAATGTATGCAAGGCTTTGATCTCTGATAGCACTGGCTTTAACTCCTCCAAAATGCCACCAGTGCCAGATGTCTAAACACACTAACATTTCCCCTATTTAGCTCCTGAGTCAACAAAAGTGGAAGCTGGAAGAGAGAGGAGTAACTAGCCCGAGGGCACATGGTTTATCCTTGGAGGACTCTGCACTAGAACCCAGGTTTGAGTGGCTGGCTAGTGCTCAGCCCCAGCTCCAAGGTGCTCCAGGGCTAGGAAGACAAATGGATTTCAAAGCAAGAATCCAAAGCCCAGGAGGAGCTGAAGATAAGACTCCATCATATCACCCATCCCTCTACCTCCTCACGGGGTAACGCATAAGCCACCCCAACAAAAGAGAATCCTCTGTCCACCAGAAAAGGGCTTAAATCGCCCCTCCATCCCCCTGAGCCTTCACCCCAGGGTCTGACACTTTTTACAGATGAAACGTTATTCTCTGCTCTGCCTTCAGATGTCAGCACTGAAGTGTCCAGCTTGCGTCAGCAGACCCAGGTGTATTTCCCTCCCTGTGCCTTTAATGTCTGTCTCCCTGTAAGCACAGGACCACATAGCAGAGCAAGGGGTCCCCAGCTGCAAACTTCCACCTCTCCTCCCCCTCCT